GAGAAGTTACCTCGACGTAGGACAAAGAAGAAGCCGGAGCCTTGGGCCTCATTGGCACTTACAGGGTTGTGGAGGCAGTCCTAACCAGGTAGGGTTTGGGGTTTAGGGTTTAGGGTTTAGGGTTAAGGGTTTAGGTTTGGGGGGCGAAACTGTGGTTGCAGGACTCGGTTCTGGACAAGCTCCAGGATATCAGCATGCATCCTACCTGGAGTTAGAGAGTCGCAGAGGCTCCAGAATCGCTTCATTCAGGAATCTAGTACCCGTCAATTGACGGGGGATGTTGAATATGACTTAAAGGAGCAGTTCACAAATACTTGTTACTTATAATGATGCCCTACTGAAGATCATAACTGGGTTGCTTTTCGTGAACCCTAGCTGTGGCCTGTGGCCTGCGGCCCAAAAAGCTTACTTTGCTTAAGGAATGTTATGACGAAGCCATAACAAGGAACCCTGAAAATATCTCTCCTAAACCCTAAAGCCTAAACCCTAAAACCCTAAGCCCTAAACTCTATTTAACCCTAAACTCTAAAACCCTAAGCCCTAAACTTTAAACCCTAAACCCTAGACCGTGGGCTGCAGGTAAAACCTGAAGCCCTAAACCCTAAAGCCTTAAACCCTTACCCAAAGCATCCGTGTACCATAAGTCATATACTTTATATAACCATAAAGTAGTCCCTAGTTGGGTACTTTGGGGCAAAAGTATATAACCATCTGTGCACATGGACCCCTTAGTCAACCCTAAACCCCAAACCTTAAACCCTAAACCTTAAACCCTAATAAACCCCAAACCCTAATAAACAATAAAACCCGAAACCTTACAACCTTAAACCCTAAACACCCTAAACCCTGAACCCTAAACCTTAAAACCTTAAGCCCTAAAAACCCTAAACCTTAAAACCTTAGGGTAACGGAACCCGGGGCCGCGGGATCTCCAAGCCTGCGTAAGTAGGAAGTCTTTAGGGTTTCGGGGTTTAGGGGTTTAGGGTTTAGGGTTTAGGGTTTGGGGTTTGGGGTTTAGGGTCTAGGGTTTAGGGTTTAGGGTTTAGGGTTCAGGTTTTAGGGTTTCGGGGTTTAGGGTTTAGGGTTTAGGGTTTTGGGGTAAGGGTTTAGGGGGGTTTAGGGTTTTGGGTTAAGGGTTTAGGGGGGTTTAGGGGTTTAGGGTTTAGGGGTTTAGGGTTAGGGGTTTAGGGTTTCGGGGTTTAGGATTTGGGGGTTTAGGGGTTTAGGGTTTCGGGGTTTACAGTTCAGGGCTTTCAGGGATTGAGGGTTTCGGGGTTTGGGGCTTTAGGGTTGAATTTAGGGTTCTAGGGTTCAGGATTTGTCGAGTTTACGGTTGGTGGGTTTCGGGTCTCCTGGCCTGCGTTCTTGGGTTGTGGAGTTGGCTTTTCAGTTCGGGGTGCGCAGCGCTGAAGCCTTCGCAGTCTGCCTAACAAGCCCAAATCCTGCTGTATCCAAACCTCCTTTGGGATCTTGGGTTTATAAGTTTAGGATTGACCGGGACCCTAAACAACTTAACAACTTACCTGTTTTGGGCCTAGGGTCCCTTATTCTGGTTTCTTTATACAAATCCTTAAAAAGGTAGGTTATTTGGGGTTACGTTAGGGTTTAGGGTTGTGAATTGACAAAGCTCTGGTTTAGGGTCCGCTTCGGAGCTCATGTTTGGCACGGTCACCTGTTGCTGTTCTGTCGGTGTTTTGCATGGATCTGTCTCCACATGTGCGCTGATGACTGAGGCTCCTGCTTTCAGCCGTAAGCCCCAAGTTCTTCGCGGTAGGGTTTAGGGTTTAGGGAACATGAACTCCTGCTTGAACTTGAAGCGACACGGCTAGTCTTCCTTCGGTCGAGGTATAAGCCCCTGGAGGATTCAGGTAACCCCGATGCATATCA